GGGCTTACAGGCATGAGCTACCATGCCTGGCCTGTATAGGTAATTTTTTAAATGTTATTAATCTCGTACCCCCAAACAAGTCTAAAAAGTCAGATCCACTATAAGATATATTCTCCATTATTTCACCCTGTATTATTATTTAATTTTTATAAGCATGTTTTGGTTCAAAAAGGATATGGTATTCTTCCTAAAAATATCTAGTTAGTAGACTCTTATGATATTTAGTATTGTCAATTTGTGTCCATATTTAATGACTTAAAAGTTGTTAATAGCTTTTTCTGGATGAAAAGTGGCAGCTTCCATGAACATCATTAATGATTGTAGTGTTTTGTTCTTACAATAATAAATACAACAGCTATTTTCTGTTGACTGAGAGGCTTCCAACCAACAAAGAAAATAAGGAGACCTTTCCTTCCAAACTACACCTAAAATGTATTTGCATATTTAGGAGTGAATATTCTGATATTAGCAATAAGTCCAGGTGATATTGCTGGCACGACTGATGTGGTGATGCAGAAGAGGCACAGTGGTAGGGGCCGGGCGCGGTGGCTCACACCTGTAATCCCAGCACTTTGGGAAGTCGAGGCAGGTGGATCACGAGGTCAAGAGATCGAAACCGTCTTTGCCAACATGGTGAAACCCCATCTCTACTAAAAATAGAAAAATTAGCTGGATATGGTGACATGCATCTGTAATCCCAGCTACTCGGGAGGCTGAGGCAGGAGAATCCTTTGAATTCAGAAGGTGGAGGTTGCAGTGAGCCGAGATCGCGCCATTGCACTCCAGCTTGGGTAACAAGAGCGAAACTCCGTCTCAAAATAAAGAAATAAATAAATAAAATAAAAAAAAAAAGAAAAAATGAAAAAAGGCCAATAATAAAGAGAGAGAAACAAACACACCCTTTGTCCCCAGCATGCAGTGACTGTGCATACATCAGGAGAATGAATGGCCAAACTTTATGTTCACTGGTTTGGGAGTTTGTGGGCCAACAGTTATGAATATCTTAGAAGGCTTTTTTTTTTCTTTGAGTCAGTGTCTCTCTCTGTCATCCAGGTTGGAGCACAGTGGTGTGATCTTGGCTCCCTACAACCTCTGCCTCCTGGGTTCAAGTGATTCTCCCACCTCAGCCTCCCTAGTAGCTGGGACTACAGCTATGATGCCTGGCTAATTTTGTATTTGTAGTAGAGATGGGGTTTTGCCATGTTGGCCAGGCTGGTCTTGAACCTGACCTCAAGTGATCCACCTGCCTCAGCCTCCCAAAGTGCTGGGGTTACAGGCGGGAGCCACTGCACCTGGCCTAGAAGCTTACATAATGTCAGGTACTACCCTAAGACTTGTACATACATCATCGATTTTATTTTTTAAAATGATTCTAAGTTAGAGAGATTTTTATTGTCATTTTATAGACAAAGAGACTGACATCCACATAGTTAAGCAACTTGCGCAAGGCCCTGCAGGAGGGTCACAGTGCCCTGCATCCTGCCGCCTGTCTCCAGGACTTCCTCCCTGAAAACCTTGGGTTTTCATTTTTTGTTTTGTTTTTCAGCTTTATTGAGAAATAATAGACAAATAGAAATTGTTTTTTTTTTTTTTTTTTTTTTTTTT